TTTTAAATTGATAGTTGTTGCATTGAAGTATAGAAACGGCAAGGAGGTATGTTTCATCGTAACTATTGAATAGATTTCAAAAGATGTTTTCCGAAAGAGCCGCCATAGTAAGTAAAATTCTACCTTGTTCTGAAGAAAACGTAAGTAGAATTCTACTTCTTCCGTAAAGGTATTTTTAAATACACATTTTTCAAGAAACTTTCAATTCTGCAATGGAAGCTGTAAAATGGAAGGTAAATTTATTCTCTATAAAATATGTTTTTGGTATATATTTTTGAGTATCTAGAACGAATTAATTGGATTTACTTTGATTCATATGGAAATAATTGCCTCAATTTTTCGTCAATTTCGGATTTCGCCAATTATTTTCGGACGGACTATCGACGAAACCCGAGGTATCGCTGTACACGTTCTTGGATATAAAAACTGATTTGAACCCGTTTCTTTTTTTTCAGATTTCGAGGATGAAACTGGAAAGTGTCGAAGAATTCTAAAATGATTAGATTAATTTTGAAAGTAATCGTATCTTATGACATAGAGAGCTTTTTATTTACAGATACATTGTCGACCAGTAGAAGACACAGCAGTTTAATAACTGACAAACCGTTTTCTCGAAAACAAGGCGAGTCGAAGAACGCATTCGCTTCTGTTTACCGAAGATTAAATTGAAGCAATGGCAAGAAATGATACGAGAAAATAACACGGAAGAAAACACATTTTGTGCAAATGAAGAAAAAGAGGAAATTGAATGAAGATGCTTTAAAATTATTATCCAAAAATTTTTTCCAAAACATTCTTTGTATTGATTGTCTCCAGAACAATATATTTATATGTATAATTTATATAATTTGTGATTGTATGTATGCTCGCTCATTGGTAATAACTGTAAACGGTGGAAAGCAGTTCGTATACATGGTGTGACCACTAAATTTTAGTTTAAGGAAAACTCGCGATGAAAATGCAAATTCTTTTCTATCAGAAAACACAAATTTTAACACAATACTTTATAAAATAGTGCACTTGAGTTTACATTTTTATATATTTGATTGAAATAATAAATCGAGTTTTGATATTTTTATTTATATTTTACAGATTTCTCTCGTAACGAAACGAGGAATGGGAAGTATCAATGTAACAGCTGTAAGAAGGAATTCACTTCGAAGTACAATTTAAAATATCATCAAAGCTTTCACACTGGCGAAGGACTCTTATCTTGCCAATATTGTAACCGTAAGTTCAACCATTCCGGCCATTTAAGTGACCACATCAGGATACATACCGGAGAGAAACCCTTTACTTGTGATCATTGTAACCGAAGATTTACACGAAAATACCATCTGATTCGACATCTACGTCTTCACACCAGAAAGAAGCCATTCTGGTGTAATTATTGATTAGAAAACTTCCGTTTTGAAGCTAGTTTGAATTATCATATTAATAATCATCACAAAAAATAAGAATTTTAAATGATATTTTCTATGTAGGAAACGGAAAAACAAAAATAGATGAAAATCGTCGCGTTGTTGCATTTGTTTGAAAAAATATTCAATAAAATGTAAACACGCGTATTAAACTTAAAAACAGTATATTTTGAAGTTTTATTTCCTTGATTTATAGTTTATATATTGTATTTAAAACATTTCATTTTGTGGATTTTAACAAAATGTTTTGTAAAATTATTATTTCTTTTAAATAAATGGAAGCTTAGAAATACTGTAGTCCTTCTGATTGTTTTTTCGTAAGAAGTCGACAATTCCCTTTCTTTCTGTACATTAAGAACTAGAATCGCACAGCTTTAATTCGAAATACTTAAAATAAGCCAATCAAAGAGCAAAATTTGATGTTTAGAGTTGAATTTATTTACATAAAATAAATTTAGTAGTATAAAAAACACATTAAATCTTTTCTATTGATTATATCATTATATTTAAGTAGGCCTATATCTAAACAGTTATAATTGTTTTCATTTTAGAAATTTGATAAACTTTTATAAACAAAATTGAGTAAAAAGACTTAAGGGTTTTTTTTATTGTATTTTTAAAATAGCTAAAGAAACAAAAATAAAGTCATTTCGAATGAGCAATTATTTATTGTGACGTCACAACGCCGGGCTCAATGTTAAGTCATATTTTAAATTTATTTAATTTAAAATGTATGCTCTCTACCTCAGAGTAGCTTGCCCTGTATATCATACATTTCATTTAACAATAGAGTCGTTCAGGTCATTTATTTAAATATCTTTCGAAAAAAAATCAATCTCGAGATTAAGACTGGAAGTGTATTAAAAAGAAATATGGGCTGCCATTTAAATTGTAAAACAAGTTAATTTTGTAATTAAATATAAAATTTGTCACATCAGTTATATGAGTTATTGACATTAATTTTCTGAAGGCAGCTGTATGGTCAAAGCGTCAGTATACCGCTCTGGGGAAGCCGGGGTCGAAAAAGCTTCAGGAATTTTTCAGATGGTGGTCCGTCCGGATATGTCGGGCCCCGTCCCTCACCCCATTGTGGGCCTGGCCGAACTTATAATGCGCTTGCTAAAAGAGCTTTCTTAATGGACGTATTCAAAATCTCAGACAACTTCCGGTCGCTGCTAGCGTGTTTTTTAATACTCTTTCCGCCCTGTGGGCACTAAGAGGGCCTCTTATAGCAGGTCCACAATGGGGCGACCGGGTGGTGAGGGACGGGGCCCGACATATCCGAACTGACCACCTCCCGAAAAATTCCTGGAATTTCTCGACCCGTCAGGATTCGATCCCGGGTCCTCCAGAGCGGTAAGATGCCACCTCGACCTCTAGGCCATCCGACCATCGCTGCTAACATGTTGCCAGAAAACCACAAGCGTCTTTTTTGGTGCTGGATACGCCAGCAAACAAGATGTCAGCCACCACGTGGCTCGACGAGCTCTGTTTTGCGTTGACAGTTTTAAATTTTAATTTATTTGTTTATGATTAAACCCCGAATAAATAAAAATTCGGTTAGTACGTTAATTTGCGCCTGGCCAACGGGCTGACCACGTGGAGTTTTCCAAGTATTTTTTGTCTAACTCCTAAAGAGGGCCAGTTTTCCTTAAATCTCCCGGGGCATTTCCCTGGATAGATCGCCTAAGTGTGGCGTTGCCGTAAGTAAATACTGTAAACCAGTGGTTCCCAATTAGTTTTTCCTGTGTATCACTTCAAGAAAGAGCTCAAACTCGCGTACCCCTTATAGCAGAAATTCATATTAATCCATACTAATATTATAAATTCGATGGTAATTCTGGCTGTCTGTCACCTTTTCACGTCTAAACCGCTGAACAGGTTTTAATAAAATTTGGCACAGAGATGGCTTACATGTTGGAGATGGACATAAGATATTTTCTCGCAGTAAAATGTAGCCTACTCCCACGAGAAAATTTTATATAATGCTGGCGAAGCTATGGGTAGACAGCTAGTGAGAAATAGAATAAGTTTTTTTTTACATTTATTACCTTTAAAATACAATTCTAATAACAATGAAAATAACATAAAGTTATTTAATTTTAATGTGACAAATGTGCACGATTTTCTTTGCACAACTTTGTAAAATCTGGTTGGTTTTTGGTCAGCTTCAGTCTGGAGTCATCTTTGAGTTGAAGTCGGTGACGATGTTTAGTTTTCATGTTTGTCATGACCGAAAATCCGCTCTCGAAGACGTATGTTGTGCAAAATGGTAGTAAATATTTTATTGCCGCTTCGTTGACATGATAATACTGTAATGATAATTCTACAGTTAACACAAATTTTGTTAATTGTAGAATTTTTGTTTCTTGCGTAAGAATTTAATTTAGGTATTGTCACAAATGCATTTTTTTAAATGAAATTTCGAGAATATTTTTAGTTATAAATAAATGAATTTGTTCATTCGACATCATGTTGTAAATTGCCGAATTTTTGATGGTCCACCCATTATTTTTTTCATTGCTTCATCTCATGCATTTAAATTTTAAATCGACTGATTTTAGATTGCCGCGAGTACCCTTCAAGCAATTTCGCGTACCCCCAGAGGTGCACGCGTACCATTAATTGGGAACCATTGCTGTAAACCAAACCAAATCTAATTTAATACGCTTCGTTCTCGCTAGTGGTCTATTAGTTAAGTAGACAACAGGTCTCAATCTATCGTGTTTAAAGTAAACTCAGCCTAGTTAATGATGGTTAGAACAATGAAGCATGGAATACTTTTAACTTCCAATCATCCTTGCACCGTCATTACAAATGCGCCATCATCAACCGATAAATCGCCATTGGATAATCACATTTGGATAACGAGGTCACAATCTGCGTCTATAGGTGCATTCGTTAATTGGGTCGCCGCCATCAAGGGCGTGCGTTGCCGTTTGTAGGCATTCGGAAACGATAGTGGAAAAAAAAATGGCAGCGTCCGAACTATCGATAGTATCGTGATAAAGAAATCTGATTTGAAAATGCGCGTTTTTAGAGAGAAAAATTAGAATTGGCTGTTTTTGCCATCCTATGGCTCTCATTCTGGCCGAAATATAGGAAGGAATTCAGTAGAAAATTTTAAACGGATGCCGTTCGCGCGGAGTTTTATGAAGGAATAAAATAACGCACGCGTTGGACATGAAAAGGTTCTTTTAGTGCGCACTAGACGGAGAGGGTAAAATAAAGAATTCCATCAACATTCGCAAGTTATAACCATAAATCATTGTATCAAAATAAATGGTGAATTTGTATATATTTTTATAAATTTTTTACGTAGTTTTCCCAGCAAGTTTTTCACTAGTACATGACATGGCGTACATTGTTTGCTAAAGTTTACGTTTGATTGCAATCTGAGCGCGTGTGGTTACTCAAAATGAATAACGAAGAAAAGTTAATTCAGCAGTAATTATTTACATTTTTTCTTAAGGTTCGGAATTTTATGAGGTTTTATGAAGCACGAGTTAAGATTAAGAATTGAACCGAAACGCGAATGGCGAAAATCCTTAAAATTTTGAAAATTAACCAAGACAGTACTAAGCAGTTCAAAATACTTTTATTCAAATGAATTCCGGATGTTAAATTTAAGCCAAAAATCAACAATTGGACCGATAAAAAGATCGTCCGCTATAAATTAAGAACTAACAAATATTTAAAACGGCAATAAATACAAAAATATCTAAGACGATCTATCCCCTTTTCTAATGGCATGATCCAACCTCTTCAAGACATTATCCGAACTATCGTGACCTAAATAATCCATCCTTCCTTGTTCCCAAGCTAACATTCTATTGTAATCATTCAAACTCTCGTCTTTCGTTTCCTCTTCGGATTTCTCTATCGTGGGTAATTCCTCTTCAGATTCCGAACTGGATTCCTCCTCATCCACGCGAACCAAAACTGTATTTTGTACTTTTTCGGACGGAAAGGAAACTGGTTCCGAAGAATCTAAGTAACGCCTGAAAGACGGAGGAGAAAAGGAGAAAACTGCATCATTCGAACCGGCCACGATTCTCGCCAAGTCTAACGCATTCACGTAATTATTCGATGTCGAATATTCTTGAACGTCCTGTAAGATTTTAAAAAGTTGATTAAATTGACGAAGCTTTTAAAACTCTGTAGTAAAAAGAAAAAGTTAACTTACTTGCGAGAAAAGTGGTAAAACACATCGCGCAAAGATTGTCAGCCAATATTGAACGTAAGAGGAGAAAGTTGGGTGAACTCCACTGAAAGGTGCTAATTGACCCGTTACGACATTAAACTGGACGTTCCACGGTTTGGTTGTTCCAAAGAAATGAACTACTTTGGCATTACCTCCAAATCTGTAAGTTACAATTGTGTAAATCGTTTATGTAAGAAAGCGAATATGCAAGTTGCAGGCTAATTTAATTGCAGGTTTAAAATTATTAAAACTAGTAATTCAATGAAGAAATAAATTTGGACATAGATAAAAATTAGAACTCTTCTAATTTAGAAGTAACGTTAAAACATTGAAAAAAAATCTTAATAGATTACTCTAAAATTAACAAAATCCATCTAATCAGCTTAAGTATATTAAAAATCACACGTTATAGCAATTTTCATAATCTTTTTTGTAATTAAAAACACATCTTAACATTTTATACTTAAAATGTCAATAGCGTGTCAAGAATTGGATTAAATTTTTCTCCGGATATTGATTCAAAACTGAAACTCAATCCATTAAAATTGAACATGTTGCCATGGCTTAATTCTTTTTTATATGCCGATTATTCTTCGTTTACATCGTAGTTACGTAATTTTAGATTTTACTGATATAATAATGTAATGCAAAACAACAACATATGTTATTAACTTGGTGTAGAATTTCGGTCATATCAATTTAACTAAAGCATCCTTATACGCTCGTAGCATCGAACTTTGACATCCGAGCCTAAAATATTTTGTAATTAAAACATTTAATATTTTAATCCTTTTGCTTTGATTTTTCTTCGTTTGGCGCGAATTTCTCCATTGTTTTTCCTAAATTTGAGGGGTAGTTGTTCTTGCTCCCACACCTGTATCCTCATGTTCGACGACACAGGGCAGTCATTAACCGCCATTTGCTTATGTTAAGTTATTCGTTTGCTCCAAATTAGATTACATTCTTTTTCCATCAATTAGAAGATTATCGAGGCTATCAATTTGGGAACATATATGGCACAACGTATACATAATAGAAGTACTTTTGGTCTATATGAAAGTTACAAAAATATTTATGGCCTACCTACCTATGCCTTATTCGCAATTTGGCCCGATCTGCACCACCGGTCTACACTGTACAGTATATAGATCACGGGATCCCCAAACTGACTGTCGTTACACCAAGGATTCTTTTAACATTTTATCCGTCTATTAATAGCTGAATTAGCAAAAATTAAAGTATTAATCTACACACCTTTCTCATAGAAAATATTACTATGTATGTAAATTTTCACACTGTCATATACAGTACACAACTCATTGAACTAATCTTTATAAACCTTATACAGTCGACTTCTGAGGGCGTATACAGATTACTTTAGAAGCCCTTGGTATAGGTGATTAGATGACTTTTCGAACATTAAAATCTGGCCGATTAGGTAAGCATTGATTTTTAATCATGTTCATTTTAGTACATTTTCTCAAACATTCTCCAGCCTGGTGCTCTTACATTTCGATGTATCTAGAAACTGATTTCTTGACCTTCATTATTATTTAGCAACTGATGAATGCATTAATCAAGCATATTTTTTGGCAACAATCACTGAAGAATTGAGGCTAGTCTTCAAGATTTAATTTAGATAGTATTTAATAGTATAAGTTACAACCAATTTTAGGATTTAAAGCCGATCGGAAATGAAACAATCATCAATACGACAAAAATCAAACAATGCATCAGATGCATAGTAATGCATCGTTTTAAAATGATGCGCATCAAAAACTAAGCATTGAAATCTCAACTTACTTTACAAAAGCGGGACCATAGGTGTAACTAACATTCGCCATGAGATTGTAGATAAATGGTAAACGTTTATGGAGATCTAGCGACCAAGTTCTGAAGTACATGTTAAGCAGACCCTGATCTCCACCTTCATTAAAAATAGAAAATATTAAACTTTGCATTTAAAACACACATTTTAACACTTATTAAAGTATTTTTTACCATCGAAGCTGCCTTTTGTTTCTGCAAAACTGACTAGATTCCAAAAAGTTTCGTCTGATGGAGTAAAGACGAAAACTGCGGTATTAAAACAATCCGGCCAACCAATATCTGGTACGGCGGATATTTCATTTCTTTCGAACAACTCGTCACAATTTTGAATAACCTGAAAGGAAAAAAAGTATTAAACATTGATACTTATATTTATATAACAATGAGTTAATAAAAATCCATACTAAAGTATCTGGCGATAAAAACACGCATTTATCAAACAGCGTCAATCGCCAAACAAGCAATTTTGAATATGTAATACCCAATTCTGGTTGCTCTAGTAAAGCTAATTTGGTGCTACCCATGGGTTCTAGAGAAGAAATACGTTGAACTACGTGAAACACAGATGCCAACACATTCCTATTAAAAAAAATAGGCCGTAAGTATTTTGCAATCAGCGAAATTATCCATAATAATATGCAACTCACCTCAATTCATCAGTTACTTCGTCCGCTATAAGGACGGCTAAAGTTCTGGAGGTGTTAGATAATCTCAAAGAATTTCCCAATACCATAGCGCCAATAGCCGTTAGATTATTCGTTGCCATTGTCACGTAAGCTTCTCTTTCGTATTCCGGTGGTATTATTAACGGAATATCGCATATGTTTAGCATATTTTCAACCCACGTCGGTGGTAATGGCACTTCGGGTGAGGGTGGTTCGATATGAGGCACTTCGGGCGACGATGGTTCAAAATGAGGCATTTCTTTAACGGACGAAGGGTACCGACTGCCATCATCCGAGGTGTGAGCGTGACCATCCTCAACAGAATAAATTTGAATATCGGTAGATTCCTCTTGATGCTGTTTCTGATATTCAGTTGTTGGAGAATACCGAATATCTTGTTTTGTATCTTTAATATTTTGCATTAAATTTGTGATTTCATCTGACTGTTGCAAGATTTCAGAACTCTGACTATTTGCAACTGGTAGTGTGTTATCTAACTCCGCTGATTTAATTTCGTTTTGATATTTTTCACTAGGAATGTGACTCTGAAAATTGATTTCGTATTTCTGATCTATTGAGGGAGATGGAATATCGTATTCATTTTGCTTATTTTGTAATTCTGGGCTTGATTTATAAGCTTCCGAAGGTCGAAACTGATTCTGTACGTGAGAGTCACTTCTTGAAATTTCTGCATATTCTTGTTTTTGTGTGTGTTTTATTGGGGATTCGAATGAATAAGGCGGCTTAACTTGTTCTTGAGTATGATCCGGTATTTGTTTATCCTTTATTAAATATTGGGATTTTGGAAGATCGTTGCTACCTTCGCAAACTACATTTTTTGTTTCACTTTTCAACTCTGTCGTTTCGGTTAACGTAGACTCCGCCCTAGAAGTTTGACCTCTACGCAAAGGGAGACGTCTTCTTACGTCAGATAGGTCCCGGATTAATGTCCTCGCTGGGACAGCGTCTCGCCGAGGTGGAGTGTTGCACTCTATTTCTTCAACCACTTTATCTAGAAAATCCTGCATTGTATTAACGTAGGACATCATCACTCGAGAGCAAGAAGGGCAAAACTCAGAACGGCGACTTTTCGATTCTCTAAAAAGATGAAAAAGAGATTTAAGAAAAAGCTTACAATTTTTTTAATTATTGGATAAATAAATTTTTAAAAAATTACAATTAAAAATATATATATATACTCTATAGTTTGGTGGTTACATGGCGCAAATTTCGCAATTCAAACTCGTGACCAGAATCTTAAAATGTGTACATATAGAAGCTTTAAAGTACGACAGTTTTATTACTAATAGCATACTTCATTTATCTACGATACAATTACATTTTAATTTCGAATAGTTTTATCTTTAGAAATTTATCTATAACGTCAGAAGGCGTAGTGTTTTCTGAATGAAAGGGAAAAAGTTTTATCCGATTTTCGTTATCAGAACTTCCACTTTTTTACAGCGCAAAACATCGACGGTCCATCCCCCAATCCGGAAATGAAATTAAATCAGTGAAAGAACGTAAAATTTAACAATTTCGTATCTTAGTTTTTAATCAAAAACAACTCAGTCACTGAAAACATCTTATCTAATTCGGTTGACCTCTAGATTATCGCGATTAATTCAACGCCTAGAGGGAAGCGACCTTGACACGTTCGGAGTTCGCACTCTAAAAAGTGGGCTGAAAAACAAACACGCTCTTTTCAATACGTTCGAAACAAAATTAACAATTAATAAATTAAACTTTACAATATAAAATTCATGTAATCAACAACACTATAAGAATAGAAAAATACCATTTTTCTACATGCAAATGATCTTAATTTACATGCGAAACACGCAAGATGTAATGGGAGCTATTTAAAGTTTATTTTCGGGTTAATAATTGTTTTAAAATGAAAAAAATAAATAAACAACTCACTTTCTTTCCATTTTCAAATTCTTCTAGGGCAGATAAACTGTCGAAATTCTTTACATAAGATTTATATCTACGTTTCGCAAGTCAGAGTATTCCTCTATACCTATCGAAGAACATGCTTTTCGAATAGCTTATCACTTGAGCAGATTTTTTTTTGGATTATCAAGGGATGAAAAGCCACCTAGTGAGTAAAATTTAAATAATAATTTTAAATTATTAAAAATTTCTCTAAAAACACAATTTGTATTTTCTCAATTTTACTTGAAAAATTAAGAGCTGCTGACAAGTTTATTAAATAATAAATTTTAAATTCGGATTTTTAATACTGAATAAAAGATTAAAATAAAAAAGTTTGCTTAATAATTAATTGGAATGATATTTTTTCATTTGTAGCATTTAATTTTCCATTTATATAGGCCTACTAACAAATGCAGTTGATTCACAGATGGGTAGAAAAAAGAATGGGAAGAGTGAACTAGGTATACCGCACCGAGATACTCAATCTAGGAAACATCAAAATGGAATGAAATTTCAAGAGTAAACTGATTAAGAATAGAGTGTTTGCACCATAAATTACCAACTTATATATTCATATAATTAATGTATTTATGTATTCTTCTTCTCTTCATATACGCTAAAGAACTTCCTTGGCTTTCTTGTATAGTGCACCGTATATTCTGTGAATTTAAAAACGGAAGATTTCAATGTAATTTCGTTTGATTTCCAAGAAAAGTAATTTTATAGATGAGAAAATAACAGTAAGTAAGGTTTTTATGCATAAAGATGTCCGAGTTTAAGCAAATTAAGATTGAAATTCAGTGTGAAGTTCTTCAGAAGAGGATCTACTAGTGGAGGAGTGGATAAAACCACCGAACGGGAGTTGGTCGTGGGTTCGCGTCTCGCCAACAGACTGGCCACGTGGAATTTTCCGGGTTTCCCGGCCTAAATAGGAGTCAATTTTCCACTAAAGTCCTTCCGGAAGGCATTCTCCCTCGGCAAATCGCCCACGTGTCTCAATTGCCTTAATCGAATAAAACCATCTTCAGAAGAGAATCCGTTATAATCCCTAAAACTTCAACCGAGATCTCTTCAATAAAGACTTGTCATACAAGCAACTACTATATAAGAAAATGAATTTGAATTGTTAAAAATTATTTTGCGGAAAGGTATTTAGTATTAAGATTAATATCTAGCAAATAAAACGAGAATACGAAGAAACGATTTTACTATATTTTCGTTGCTTCCTCAATTTAAATATTATTAATTTTAAATATTTCCAAAACGCGTAGGATTTATTAAACATTCTTTAATCACAGTTTAAATGCTTAGTATAGTTTTCAAACAGAACACGCAGCCCTGTATTTTCATTGACAATTGAATATTTTTTTGTATTATACTAGAACGTAAAGAGATTTATAGCAATAAAAATATTAATCATTAATCGAGTTTGAAAATATTTAAATATTTAGTATTATTTAAAAGAAAATATTGTAATATAACAATTGAAAGAAATACTTCTCGTGATAAGGATTTTTATGAAAATTTCCTCTTTAGACGTAAATTCTATTTTCCTGTGAGATTGTTCTTTACGTATGTTGATGTGTTGACCTACATTTTTAAAGATTTCCAAATAATAAACATAACATGTTGAATTGCTGAGTAATATTTTCGATTGCATAATACATTTTTTTTTTCCTTCTTATACGTTAACAAGTTACGAAGAATATCCAAAACAATGGTTTAAAATGTTTTTATCTTACCAAAAACTCGCAAATAGCATTAGAAAAATCTATTCAAACTTTATTCTTGATCTTGTAAGTTAATTATTTTCGACTTCAAAATTAATTTTTATGAGAATTAAAACAATTTAAAGTAGTAATTTTTATTATGTCATTCCATCAAAATGTATACAGATTTTCTAAACGGTTGAAAAAAAACAAAGGTTCTGTGTTTTGTTTATGTGAAAATTACATTGAACTTTTAATCTATATTTAGTTTTTTTCTATTGTTATTATTATTTTACTTTTTAAATTATATATTATTTTTTTCATTATTCGAAATAAAATTGAATTTGTTTAAAAAATTTTAAATACAGTAGAGCGTCGTTTATCCGAAATTCTGTTATCCGAAACGTCGGTTATCCGAAAGAATTCCAGTTGGCAAATTTAAATTTTCGTTAGTGCTGTGGCGCTGCAATCTTTGGCTATGTCTTGGGCTACTCAAATATTTTACGTTTCTCATGCTAAATTAACTTCTGAAGTATAATTTTTTATTGTTTTTATATTTTTCAATATATTTATTTTGTTTGTACAAAATAAAGAAATAATTTTTAACGATACTGCCACGATTATTATTTTAAAAAGTTTACGTTAGGCTTAACATCGACGAAAATCCAACGCAAAGCGACACGCAACGGAGAAAAATTTCAGGACGGGATAGGTTAATATATTTTTTCGTATGTAATCGGTTATCCGAAAAATAAGTTATCCGAACAACCACAGTCCCCAATTGATTCGGATAAACGACGCTCTACTGTAAATATTAAAATTTTTACACATTTAAGACAATATTTAAGACAATTTCTCATTTTTAACATCAATGTTGAAAGCATTTTTCAGCTTAATTTAATAGATTTTCCATTGAATAATGTTAAATGCTGAATAAAAGTTTCTGACAGACAAATTTCCTGAAAATTTTAAGTTTTTTTTTCAATTCTGATATCCATAATGTAAATTTATTGAATATAAATCACAATTAAACCGTAAACTTACCATGGCTCGCTAATAATGTTTCATAGGTAATCAGTTAAATTGTACGTGTTTTACAAATAATTAGGATTAGAAAAGTTCAATTTTACTTTACTTAATTCAACTAGCAAGTAGATAGAAAATAACAAAAGCTTTTCAATTGATTAATTAATACTAAAACATAAATAAATGAATTTTTCTGCTTTCATCATCAATAAATAAATATAATAAATGGTCATCGAGATTATTATATATATAATTAAAATAATAAGTCTCTTTTCACAACCTTAATTATCACTAAAACAAGATTTTAAATTGCTTATGAAGAGCGTAATGTTAATGATATTGTTATATATATTAAGAGAGTTTTTGGCTTTTGTTTTTATATGGTTTACTTGGGAGAAGATTCTTTCTACGTTTGCCGAATAGTTAGACTGGTCATAAAGTTATATAAAATCTCATATTTAGAATTATTAAAGCCATCTTAACTGAATGATTAGCACATAATGCAAAAAGAATGGCAAATACATCCCATTATAAATACTGATGGTATATCCTTTTCTAGCAATGACTGGAACCCTTCTGAAGTACCATTTTCGATATATTATGTGTCAAGTAACACATCTACAACATCAAAATATCAAACAACAACAGCTAGAACTTGTGATATAGATATATCAGTACTTTCATCTATTATCATTGAAAACCTTTTGTTTCTGCATATGTTAGAAATGTATATTTTTTTCGTGTCATCTTGTATAAGATAAGACACTTTAGTCGTCCTCGTCTAACTTGTTTTGCAATATTGCTATCATGAAATGCTTTCTTACCTGCTTCTATAAGATGATCACATTGCGCGAATAGAATATTATGCTCAGAAATGAGTGCAGCAATTGTTAACTCTGCCTTTTCTATTTCTTTTTTCTCCGTAAGTTTACTTTTTATGGGCACTCTTTTAGAAAGCCCATCATGAGTTCGGCCAGGCCTACAATGGGGCGGCCGGATGGTGAGAGACCGGGGCTCGACATATCCGGTCGGACCACCCCCGAATAATTCCTGGAGATTTATCGAGTCGTCCGGATTCGATCCTGGGTACACCAGAGCGGTAAGATGCCACCTTGACCGCTCGGGCATCCGGCCTCAAATCACGAAAGGCTGTGCAGTAAAGACTGCATTCCGCCTGTTCAATATATTGTGCATTTAAATGTATTAAATTTTATTCTGTTTACATGCAATAAAAATAAATTGATTTAGAATTAAAAATTACCGAAAGAACAGATAATTTTGTGAAAAACTATCAACCTAGATGACAATCAAAACACCCAGATTTGGGTGGTAAACTCAGGCGTGGGAACCCTGAGTCTGACCTGAGTATGATTTAGGGGGAAGGGAAATTAAAATTTATCTATTAATTAAATTTCTTTCTCTCTAAATATAAAATTAATGATATTTAAGTTATTTATGACAAGCTTTTTTTATAATGATATTACATTTAATACAATATAGGTTATTAGACTAAATAATTAAATGATTTGAATTATTTAGTCTAATATAGAATTATTAAATGATCAGAGCAGAAATATAATTTTTACGAGTTTTCTTAATTATAAAGTATTATCGTTGTAACTTCGATAGTTGGCTAGCCGCGCGGTTAAGGTGTCAGCCTTTCGCTCTAGGGGATCCAGGAACGAATTCGGATAGGTCGATAAACGCCAGAAGTTTTTCGGGCTCCGCCCAGGATATATCAGACACCGTTTCTCACTGACCACATTATTGTGGGTCTGGCCGAATCTACGATGGGCACGAAAACTGGTCCTCTTAGTGCACACAGGACAGGAAAAAAAGTAATGTAAGCAGTAAACCCGGAATACATTAAAATTCAATTCTGATTAATAAACATGATTTTCATGCTATTTTGCACAATGGTGTATATAAAATGAGAAAAAATACAAAATAATGAATAGAAATAATAATATATGAAATTGATTACATGTTAAAGCTTGTAGGCTTTCTATTTTCCATTAACTGAACCCGCAAGTTAGTAAAAACAGGATGTTGGTCATACAAATCTCGGTCAACAATCTGCAACTGCTCATTCTTCAATGTATAATCTTTATTACGATCAAATTATCTAATATATAATCGAGACGGGTTGATGATAATAATAATAATAATAAGCGCAGAGCCCAAACGGTTAGGAGTTAAAAGTTGAAACTTGGTACACAGATAGGGTACGTCATGAAAACGCACACTAAGAAGGGATTTTTCGAAATTTTCCCCCGGGGGGAGAGAGACAGGATTAAAACTTCTATATACATTATGGATACGAGCCCAAACGGTTAGGAGTTGAAAGTTGAAATTTGGTACACAGTTAGGGTACGTTAGGAGAACGCACACTAAGAAGGGATTTTTCGAAATTCCTCCCCACGGGGGAGAGGGACAGGATTAAGGCTTAACACTTCCATCAACAATGGAAGTGTTAAGTAACAATGGAAGTGCTAAGTAACAATGGAAGTGTTAAGTAACAATGGAAGTGTTAAGTAACAATGGAAGTGTTAAGTAACAATGGAAGTGTTAAGTAACAATGGAAGTGTTAAGTAACAATGGAAGTGTTAAGTAACAATGGAAGTGTTAAGTAACAATGGAAGTGTTAAGTAACAATGGAAGTGTTAAGTAACAATGGAAGTGTTAAGTAACAATGGAAGTGTTAAGTAACAATGGAAGTGTTAAGTAACAATGGAAGTGTTAAGTAACAATGGAAGTGTTAAGTAACAATGGAAGTGTTAAGTAACAATGGAAGTGTTAAGTAACAATGGAAGTGTTAAGTAACAATGGAAGTGTTAAGTAACAATGGAAGTGTTAAGTAACAATGGAAGTGTTAAGTAACAATGGAAGTGTTAAGTAACAATGGAAGTGTTAAGTAACAATGGAAGTGTTAAGTAACAATGGAAGTGTTAAGTAACAATGGAAGTGTTAAGTAACAATGGAAGTGTTAAGTAACAATGGAAGTGTTAAGTAACAATGGAAGTGTTAAGTAACAATGGAAGTGTTAAGTAACAATGGAAGTGTTAAGTAACAATGGAAGTGTTAAGTAACAATGGAAGTGTTAAGTAACAATGGAAGTGTTAAGTAACAATGGAAGTGTTAAGTAACAATGGAAGTGTTAAGTAACAATGGAAGTGTTAAGTAACAATGGAAGTGTTAAGTAACAATGGAAGTGTTAAGTAACAATAAAAGTTTTAAGTAACAATGGAAGTGTCAACAATGGAAGTGTTACGTAACAATGGAATTGTTAAGAGAAAGCGATGTGCGAGACGCAGATGCAGTTTTTTTCGTTTTTGCGGGAAATCGAACATATTTTTAGACCCATCTAAAAATTCTCTAATTAGTCTGGAAACAAGGGGACCCAATTCTTGCATTCTGTGAAAACGGGTAAGGTTGACTGTAACGTAATAATCTTTATCTTAGTTATCGTTACTTTTGCCCGAGCAACGCCGGGCCCACCTGCTAGTTATTATTAATATCTGAAATGACCCTAAATTTCTCTCATTAGAATCTTCTTTAATTATAAAATTGTATTTGGTCTGCTAGCGATTTTTACTATAGTGTAACAACTAAAATTTATGCAAAGGAAATCAAATACTAACTCCAAGTTTAGATATCCTTATCGTAAAATGTCTAGTAGGTTGTCGAAGGTGCCAAAAATTCGAACATCGTTGTACTGACTAGTTTAAGTATCCGATGCCAAAAACTACCGAAAACAAGGTGTTGTATGCCAATAATTTGTAAATCGATTGTCACTTTTAGCCATGATATTCTGTGGCAAACATCTCGCCATTGTACCGGCCAAGTTTAAAAGACATTTGGAATCATTTAAACTAATTTAAACGATGATTTAATTCTATGATTTATAGCTCGACTTAACGAAGCGCCATTACTATAAACGTCATCTATTAACAATTTTCCTTCCAGGAAACAGTTTATAAATTATATAAATCTATAATTTAGTCAGTCATTTAAACAAAAATTTATTATATTCGCCCGAAAAAAATCTATATTTTATTGATATTATAACATATAGGATCGATGCTTATATAGGAAATTGAACACCATATTAGATTTTCCTTACTTTTATGACTATAAAATATGCGAATTTATATAATTAGTTTTCTTATTGTTAAAACTATTTTCTATTTCCTGCGCGTTAAAAACGATTTTATATAATTTTATTCATTAAATTCAATAGAATTACTGGAGTAACTTATATGAATTATGTATAGCATATACAGTATTTTAAACAGAATTCAATCAACAATTACTCTATTTACTAGAGTGTAATATAAATAAAATAAAGTAAAATAATTATATTAGCAGCTCATTCCCATTAATCTTTCCTCTTTTTAAATGTAATTTATTTTTAAATTTTACTTATTTTGCAATATAATCCTTTCATCTATAGACAACTTATCCTAGTCAAATAAACTTATTTATTTATAATTTCCTAAGACTTTAAAATATATATATATATATTAGCAAAGAAAATTTATAAGCAGTCAAACCTCTGAATAAATTTCAATTAAATGAAATACTAAAAATGAATTTTTCACTTACATTTCGAGAAAAATATTAATTTACAAAATTTAAGGATCGTGAATCTCCTTCGGGTTCCACTCAATAAAGATGATAGACTTTATACAAAAAACAAAACAAAAAAAAACACTAAACTATTATCAACTCATGGCTTCATATTGCACCCTCTCGTGTCATTTCATTGAAATACTTGCTTGTGTTTAAATACATAGTACTGTATTTTAATTCATAAAAAGTCTTCTTTCATCGATTCATATGTATTTGTTAATATGTAAAATGAGTTAATGAAGCGCTTAAAATATTGGCATTCTAATATGTAGGGTGGTTCCAGGGCCAGCTGGAGGTTTGTGGGGCCTCGGGAAGAAGTTATCAGTAGGGCCCCAAAATGTTTGCAAAAAAATTTTTTTTAAATCGAATAAACATAATTTACAAACATTAAATGCATATAGTTATGCGCTAGACCAGTGATTCTCAACCTTTTTTTTCGTCACGGTATGTTAATAATTTAAAAATTTGGCGGCACACGCGGTTACTTCGTTAAGTACTGCAGGACATAACAAACTGTGACGTCATAACAGTGATGTTTAAACGCAGTTGGTTATTTAGGTCACGTTTTCTAAACGCCTTGGTAACTACCGGCAGTTACCGGTAACACCAGTTACAATTTCCAAACGCGCCCTTGGTAGGTAGAATTGAACCACTTGTCTGATGTCGCTTAAGTATGGGTATTTGCAGTGGCGGCACACTTCAAAAATCTCGCGGCACAGTGGTTGAGAATCACCGCACTATACAAACAATTGCAGCAAACAAAAAATTCTATTATCAAATTTTCTTAGAAATTTGAAAGTGCGGGAGCCCTCTAAGCGTACTGTTGCAGCAAAGTTTTGGGTAGAATAGTGGTAACAATTGTTGAATGCCATTATTATTAGCCATGAAAGGATGACGTCTGGGTCTCGATTTAAAGCCCGAATGTCGGGCCTTAAACCGTTTATAGACTTTGGCCCGGTTGATTCAGTTAACCATTGTGAAGACTAAATTAGTAATACTCAAAAAGTTTATTTACAACTTTACAAAAATTGTTCGAATATGCAAATTAAAACGCGTTGATACTATTTTTAAAACCTTTTTTGAGCAAATTTTCTCGATGCCGACGGATCTTCACAGCAAATATTTAAGTATTATTCAGTATCTATAAATTTGTAAATGTACGATTTTGCATTACAAACTGTTATGAGATCACGTGACTTTTTCAGCTCTTTCGCCCCGTGGGCACTAAGAGGCCCTCTTTTAGCAAGCCCATTATAAGTTCGGCCAGACCCACAATGGAGATGCCGGGTGATGAGGAACGAGGCCCGACATATCCGGACGGACTACCCCTGAAAAATTCCTGGAAATTTTTCGACCCGTCCGGATTTCTTTGAATCAATGAATAGTTAACACTTTCAACGTGATTTTAAAGAAAAAAATTCATTGGAAGAATATAAAGATTTATTATTATAATTAAGGTTAACAATTTATTACTTTGACTCTAATAAAGAAATAGTCGTTATAAACAGAAAATTATGAGAATGATAACGCAAAATCTATTTATAATCATTATTATCATGACTCTACTGATAACAGAGGATTGTCTGTACTGGCCTCAAAATTCCTTTCCATCTTTACCTCTGTTTTCTTCTAACACTCTATGTTTGGTGTATGATTACCACTTCTGATTTTTTAAATTTATTTCTAAATTAAAAAATAAATAAGTAAATGTTGACAATTGTAAAATATGTTGTGGATTAATTCTAGAAAAATACGTTTGGACAACTAATTCACATAACTAAATCATGGAAACTAATTAACTAAATGTGTTTCTGATAAAAAATTAAAAATGACAAACTTATAAATATCTTTTTTAAATTGTTTGAAGAATTTATAAGTGAAAACATATTAAACAACAACATCAAATTGTTATTATTTAGAAAAAAAATCTTTATTTTCTATCATTTTAGAAAGCTTGTATATTACATATTTAGTAGCAATTAACAATATAAATTTATTGTATATAAACAATATAATAGTTTAACTATATATTTTTTCCTATCAAAATTGAGTATTGTTAGTAATAAATCAAAAAAAAAAATTGTAACATTTCAAGCACACTTATTTTCTAATTTCATAAACGATACATTCTAAGATTCTATAGTTTAAAAAAATAATAATAACCGAGAAGTAATCTTGCTATTTACATATTTATTTTAAGCTTTGATGAATTTAAAATTTCACCTTTAGATCTATCAAATTCACTAAATGCATAGCTGTAATGTATATCCAACAGATCTAAACTAAATAACAACTTGAGGATTTAAGAATTAATTCAACTAGTTCATTTACAATTGAAACTATTAGCAGATGAAAGGATATTAAATAAGATTTCTAAAGAATTTAGAAAATGCAAAAAAAAAAAAAAATCAAATTTTATTCATAAAATTAGTAAGAACAATGCATATAGTTTCATTATAATTAAAGAAAGTAACCCGAAACTAAAAAGAAATAAAATTTCTTAGTTACTGGAATGAAAATTATTAATTGTAGAATATTATATTGATGTATTATAAATGGTCATACTTTAAATAATTTCTTAATTTAGATAATAATACAATATGTCCCATAAGTCTGGAATCATTAGTTATGCTGATCTATTTATTCTTGTAAAGTAAAGATGCTTAGTTGTTTTGATGTTAGGGATCTGCAGTCGGCGAGAAGTCGCCCAAACAGTTTAACAGTTTTGACCTAAATATATTTGGATAGATGAATTAAAGAAAAACATGAATAGAATGATTGGAAGAATAGAGATAAACAGAGACAAAAAGAATTAAATATCTTAATTTTGATATCTGTTTTGATAGAGTACATTCATCTTTTGAAGTACCAATGATATATGATATTTTGTAACATTAATAATAAACATTTTCAAGATTAAAATAATATCAAAACAATAAATTAGTAATTCTAAATCTTACATTAATCATTTACTACATTTTAGTCTTCCTTTGATTTATATACATGAATTCTAATATTATTCTTCAACTGAATTGCAAATAATCAATACAGAAATTTTCACTGTTCCATAGTTTTTATTTACAATGCCCATGTTGTGACATTAAATTAAATATCTTACATATTGTGTAATTCTTTTTTTCTTACCTTTATAATTGTGCAAGGTGAAGATAAAATCAACATGTGTAGGTAGTAAATGGGAAAATGTATAAAATGGAAAATGCGGATTCATTTCAGAAAACAGTATATATAGTATTATTGGGACAAGAAAACAATGAAAGACTGAAGGATATAAAAAGAATTATACAATTTAATATTTGGGATCTATCATATAGGTAGATATTAGTACAGAACAGCATTTCTCAACCTTTTTAAGCCAAAGGACCAGTAAGATGTCTGAAAAAATTCTACAGATTACTAAGTTATGTAAGCATAATCAGGCTGCAATTTTCAAAAATTGCAGACCTATAAATTCCTGCTGGCATTGTCTGTCTGTCCATTTTTTCATTTTGATAATGGAGTCATATAGATGAAAATCAAGATCAGAAATGGGAAACTTAGGAGCAGGAGGTCCTGATTAATTGTATGTGAACTTTTGGTTTTAGACTATAAGTCATGTCATTTCAATTCAAAACTTTTCTCTTGAATGGAGTTATATAGATGACATACATGATCTCATTGTTAACATGAGAAGTATGATATACAGGGATTACTGAAATTGAGAGCATTGCGACAAAAAATTGCAGTCCAGCTTTAAAATATACAAGCCATTATTTGTTGTGACATCATAATAATAAATAATTGCTTGTTTATTTTAATGCTGAGCTGGAAATTGTTCATTTATTTTAAACTTGTGAGTATATTACCATCATTTGGGACATACTGTGCCATTTATAACATAATAAATCCAAAAGCATGTTTTGAATACACATGGAGACATAATTAATCAAAACTGGAAGTAAATTATTAAAATTAAATCATCATTAAACAAAGTTTTAATCTTTATTAATTTAAGTCTGCCTGCAGACCACCTGTCCCATCATCACAGGTCACAGGTTGAGAAATGCTGGTATAGAGTAAATGGAAAGGAAAGAACAATGACAGATATGTTGAATTCTGTACCGTGGAAAATTATCAATAACATACACTAACCTCTTTTTAATATGATCATTCCTTGCAAAGAAGGGTGCCAGATTGGCAAGAATGCTGGATTATTGAGAGTTTTATAGACCTAAAGGCAATCATTGATTTAACTTGTTACCCTTCAGTACTGATTCTTTTTGGAGATAGGTGAGCAAATAATACAGCATGCTGACATGCAATAGCATACAGAAAAATGAAATGATGACATAACTAACATTTTCATGAAAATGGAAGCACATAGGCAATTACACTGAGTCATATGCCATATTATTGATAGGCTGGATGATTAAGGGCTGAATAAGCAAGAGTATACTATAATTACAAAAACAAAAAAGATGATAAAACTATTTGAAAATATAGAATGTAATATGTTACAAAACTGAAATACAGAATATTAATAAAAAATTACTGACAATAGAAACAGATTATTGGAGATCATCAAGATAACCTGATTAAAAAAAATAAAAACAAAACAATTAGAGAATTAATGCAGAAAGAACATAATATAGTGCAAGAGATAAGAGAAAAATTAAAATAGTAAAAACATTTAAAAAATGAGAAAAGCGAGAATACAACATGAAATTTTGGAATGGATACCACATAAGGTAAAGATGAAGACCTAAATATATTTGGATGAATGAAATAAAGGAAAATATGAATATAGAAACCTAGAAGAGAATGATTCAAAAAACAGAGATAAATGGAGATCAAAATATGTAGGTATCTTTTGATTGGGATTGAAAAATCCTGACTGATTAACTGACAAGTAGTATAACAACAACAAAATAAAAATAATATTCACATAATAAATTTTACATATACGAATTTTGATTACTACATAATTTTATTGGATATATTTATATCAGATATAATTTTAAATTTTAAGAAAATATGAAGTATTAAAATACTAATGGTAGATTTTTGATTTATATCCCTTTACATATATTTAAAAAATTCTTTAAAGAGCATATAATTATTATTATTTCTATATGTTTTTTAAACATTTAATATCCCTTCAATTTACTAAAAGCTTCAATCATAGCAACAGATTTTATCATCAATGTCTTTTTTTTTCTTTATAATTCCTAAAGCTATAATATTTTAAGAATATACAAATTTCATTACATAGATATTAGAAAAAGTTTAGACAACATATTTCAGTATGTTGTATTTAAATTTTGATAATCCTGAAGTAATTTGTAAATAGAATCTTTTCCATGAATAAGATTGTTTATATTGATATTTATGAAAACTTGCAATACAGATTTCATATTATTGTTAATATATTATCAATTTTAAAATATAATGTAGACTATTTCATTAATTTCGCAACAAAATACTTGTGAATTAAACTAATAGTAAGAGCGCTGTATTTCAGTAATATGGCCATTTAAAGTAGGCAATGACTCACTTTAGACAGAATTAGATAACCTAAATAGGGTATAACAATTTGCAGGGCTTATCACACCAAGGCCAACTGAAAGAAGGACCAGAACTTTTATAAAAAAGGTTGGTCTTTAATAATCACGTATCAAATTTAGGTAAGTATGCATTTCGGGTACAAGGACCCCTCATCAGCTTACAAACACATGGTAACAACGTAACAAATACAATATCAATAACCTGCCAATACAACGGGATAACCAACATATGCAGTGCACTGCATTTACAATTTCTCAATGTAACCCATACACTAAAACTAAAATATCAAGTATAAATTATAATACAATGACAATGTGGTATTACATATTATCTGGGACCAGTAAATGTTTTAGTTTCTCCGACATTTTCCAAATTCTGGTAGACGGTTACATCTTATTAAAACCAATTGGTTTCCAGATTTTAACACAAACAAAATACATCTGATCTATAAGCCTTNATATATTATCAATTTTAAAATACTTTTATATGAGTTATAGATGTGCAAAAAAATAATAGAATGTTTTAACATTTTTTAGTTTAAATTTTATAATGGAAATGTTTCTTATTCAGAAATATAATCTTCTTGAGAATAATATTTTTATATATCTATATTAGTGAGCATTTACAATAAATTTTTACATTTTATTTAAGAATAAAAATGTAACTTTTAAAAATAAAAACATATAACTAAAACTTAAACTATTATCTAAAAAATAAAATTAAAAATTTTGAGTTCTTGTAATTTTTTATGAATAAGCTAGAATTATTACAGCTTTCTTTATATACAATTATATAAAGCTAAAAAAAAAAAGTATAGCTTTATATAATTGCACTAGCTTTTTACGTTTGAACACAATTCGGAGGTTGCATTTTAAATGAATGCATAATTTAGTTTTTCAATAACAGGTAAAATATGGTAAGAAGTTTGTGTCATATTTCAAAGATAACAGATGGCTGATACTTAAAATGAATTTTCATATTGTTATTAAATTTTTATTTTAAACAAAATTATTAAAGTTCCTAGAGATTTTCATTACATATTTGGCATAGCAATATGTAAATTAAAATTTCCAAGTTATTAAATAACCAATTAATTACAGTTGACCCTCCTATAACGCGGGTTCATATAATGCAGATTCATATATCGCGGCGAAAAAATTGCGATTGTATTCGTATAAAGATACTAAAAGAGACTTGCAAAATGCTGTAAAATGTCATCGCTGACTCGTGTTGCGACAGGATTGGTCGAATCTGGACCAATAGTGGACGAGCAGCCAAACTACTTACATGCTACAGAGAGTTTAGGCAAGTAAGTTGAGTTTACTATTGTCTGTACAGTATATAAATTAAGTACCATAAGTCTAACACAGTACTGTAATTTTATACATTTCTTGTGAAAAAAACATTTCTTATTCAATGTTAAAAATTATTTCTATTAATGATGTCTCCAAAGTTCAACGAATTTTTTGCAGAAAAATAACTTATCAGAAAATGCACCCACCGTTTGGTGCACTGCTCCGCGACGAAAACAAGCTTAAGCAATGGCATCATCGAACGGTGCACACTCAGTAAGTAATCCTACAATTTTTTGTTTATAGCATAGTTTATACGGATTATTCCCAAAAAATTATACTTGTTTTGGAAATGTTGAGTCAAATTAGTCTAGAATCAATTAATTTTATGGAAGAAAACCTTTCAAACAGCCATAGTCCATATACTGCACATGTGCCAGGCTGTGATTGGCTCATGTATTTAAGGATTCCTACAATGTGAAATTCTTATAAAGTGGAACATATCTACTGTGTTATAGGGGGGTCGACTGTATTATAAAACAATAATGTGTTAATTCTAGTAATCATTGGATAAATTTTTTGACTCGTACCAATCGTATCAATCAGAACAGATTGTTATGATTGGTATCATCAGATGGTATTATTCTTCAAATTATATTGGCATTTTATTTTGAATTTGTAAAATTTGCCTTTATAATTTGTATAGAATCATTTTAACAGTGCTGACTTGTTTCAAAACTAATTTAATAACCAACAAAGTAATTTACTAGCTAAAAACATTTTTCATATATGTTTTTTGATTTTAAAAATATTGCAATTCAGAAGAAAAGAAAATTATTAACTGAAACATATTTTTGTGTTAATATGGTCAAAATTGTATTTCTCAATTAAGTTTGTGGCATCTAACGCAATGAAATAGATGCTGAGTATTCGAGAAATTTATAAAAATAGTAATTTCATAACAGGATTGTATACAAATACTACAAATTTTCAATGTCTAATTTCTTAATACTTGATAAAATTTACTTAAGAAATTATATAAATGAAAAAATTGCTTTAGATCACTGTATATTTGAGTACCTAATGTTCAGTCAATATTAAGTGTAAAGACTAGTATAAATAGATTAAAACAATTATGGAATGGCAAGAATTATAAATAAAAAATTCTCATTCTATAAAGAGTAAATATTTCTTATATAAATGAATTAAAATAGAAATATCAATAAAATATTGATTATTAATTACAAAACTGTGCAACCACAACAACATGTTTGTGGGTAATCAGGAGCATAAACTTTATGCTCAAAGCCATAAATGTTGAAAGAACTTTCAAAATTCTTCCATCGATAATATACTGTAGAAATTGGAATAATACGGACTTCATGGCGCTTTAAAAAACAAAAATATTCTATTAAATATTATATATCAAAAATATTCTATTTCTTGGAAACAACAATATGGAGAGAAAAAGATATCATACCTGCATAAGTAATTTTTCAGTAACAAAATATGAAGAATGTTGTTGGATGAGTTGTAAGGAAGCCATATTAATAGTTGTATCAGGAAAATGATCAATTGGTTTCAACTGTAATCAAAAACATATATATATATATATATATTAATAAATGCAGGAATAAATTTTGGGAATGTAATAAATATACTAAATATATATTTAATTTCATATTTTCAAGAAACTTTTTTCATTTAATTATACCTTTCTAAAGTTTAGTAACTCATTAATTTAAAAATTTAATATTAAAATAAATGAAATTTAAATATAAAAATTTCTCCTCAGTATCTGAGAAAAAAGTATATTTTCAGAAAACTGTTTTTATTCTTGAAAATTAACATAACGTCACTTAAAAAAATAAAAAATAATTAGTTGTGGTAATTGTCTATGTTGAATTTACTTAATTATAAAGACAATATATAATATTAGTTATAAATATTATTTTAAAAAAAACTCTAAAAAAATAAGATCAAGCTAGAAATACTAGATAAATCAAAAGATAACTTTGCTAAATTGATAGTATGATGTTGAGATTTATGAAACATTCTTGAAAAATAATATAATGTACTGTACATTAAATTCTTTCAGAAAATATGAACAAAAAATAATTTAAAATATAGAAAATAAGGGAAAATTAATATAAGACATACAAACAAAGAATTAGTTATTTCAAAATACTTAATTGCTACTAAGAAAACATCTTATTGACATTAAAATCTGAGAAGTGAGAATGAGTAAAATTTACTTCACTAAACTAATCATCAATCTTGAATGTCAGTTGTTGTTTAAATCAATTATAAATTTTAAAAATACTCCAATATTTCAAATTTTACAAATTTACATTTCACTTGCAAGGATTTTACATTTACCTGTCTGATTCAAATACAAATTTAAAAACTAAATGAAACACAAATTGCTCATTTTTGTATTTTTGTTTTCATTTATTTATTTTTTACTTTATGATTATAACACTTACGTGTTGTGGCGTGAAGTGACATTGTATTATATTTTTTACCTATAGATAAGCATTAAGAACCTCATAATAAAATTTAATTCATAATTTTGAGAATTGGTTATATCTTCAAAATAGAATTTATGTTGTTTCTATATGGAATAATTAATTAAGTGCCTTATGTTAAAATTTCTGTGCATTTGCAATTAGTCAAAATTTTTTTATAGAACTAACTGGATTAATCTTGTAACAATGCTATTTATGTAACTCAGTGTTTCTCAACCTCTAACAAATCATTGCCCCCTTCAACGTAGGATTGCCCTCTTCAATGAAACCGTTACGTAGTATCGCCCCCTTCACTTCAAAATTCCGATGCCGAGGGCCAAGGCTAATGCCAAATTCATACTGCATTGAACAGACTAGTGACTAGTATAATGTTATTTGTTTAATTATTGTACGATATAACGAATAAAATATCTAATTATTCTTAATATAATGTTTTACTGTATTGTCCAGAAAATTGTTTTTCACCCCCAAAATATAAATTGTTACAAATCGCCCCCTCAACATGGAAAAACGCCCACATGGGGGCAATATTGCCCCCGTTGAGAAACACTGATGTAACTTAAAGTTGTTTATTTGTAAATAATTACAAAAAGCCTCTTAAAAAAAAATTACAGCTGCTGGTTAAACTTTTTACCATCATTTATTTTAACAAAATTCTTATCCACAAATATTGCTATTAACTGAACAATCTAAGCTTCAGTATGCAAAAATTACTTTTATTTTCCAAGATAAAAACACAAAAATGTTTTCCTCATAAATTCAAAATTACCTCATACCTACTTCTTTGCAGAATTTTAGCAAAAGATAGAAATCTGCAGAAATTTTGAAACTTTCTGACTTATAAAATTCCACTCTAAAAGGAGAGTTTTAAATTTTTTAATGATATGTGCTTTTTATCCTTAATTACTGATGTAATTCGGATTTAATTAAGTGCTGATGAGATTGAGCACTTGATTTTGCATAAATTTAAGAAATTTTTAGGCCTAATTCTCTGTTCTGATTGTTAAGAAAACATTGAATAGAAAACAGATTGAATATCAGCTTTCCTGTCAACAGCCGTAATAAAAGTATAACATCAGAGCATTACAATAAACAGGCTCTGGTTAAAGGAAGATTAGGCGGACTATCGAACAGATAAACAGAATGAAACTTGCAACTTTTGAACCATATATGGCAATGACAGCTGCATTTCAGCAATGTTATAGCATCAATGATAGACACCTCTGACATCACATCTGCAGATTCATTATTAAACATCTGATCACCTGATCATTTTTCCAGGCTAAAAACAAATATAAGGATGCAGTACCTGCACTTCAGGGCATTTGTCCTAGTTCTACTTTCTATAAGTGCCACACTGATCTCCATAGAATAGACCTGACCCTGTCACAGGAGAAGACAACAGTTCAACAACTTGGTTCCACTTCCACTTGACAGAACGAACATCATGTATGCCTCCACAATGATTGAGACTCACATCTCTCAAAGGTATTTAAATTAGACCATTGTAAACTCTCTCTCAATCTACATAGCTTAGGTAGATAGAAATTAGTAGACAGTAACGGACTGTCGGTGTGAGTGCCATATGGAAGTAGACTAATTGCGTTGAGTTATATAGTTATTCGCTATATATATCATATTCAATTGTATGTTATGTAGTTCTTTGTATATCTTAGATTTAGTTAAAATAAACTTGTGTTATACATTGTTTATGGCCTATCTTCTTTGGAAAACCAGACACCGATTGACTTGCTTATCGACCGCCCCACTCAATAATTTAAGACCCTCCTACTCAACCTTTGTGTATAATACACGAGTTAGGATGTGTTTAACTCTATCCTAACTGGTGTCAGCATCCTGACATTGGCCAGATCTTGCAATCCCACCAACAATTCATAGAAGAGCCATCCAGAAGACAACAAGACAGGTTTTACCAACCTGGGGCTGATCAAGGGTTAGGAATCCCCTACCTGTAGCTAATCTCACACTTATATTATACCTTTGTCCACTTTGAACATTCTTGTGAACTATGACTTGTTATACTGAAAGAAGAGAAACACACAGTTTCCAATTAAAATATATTTTACAAGATTACATTACAAATAAATATATTTTAATTGGAAATTGTGTGTTTCTTTTCTCTCGGTATAACAAGTTCTAGTTCACAAGTACGTCTAAAGTGGACAAAAGTATAAGATAGTTTTGAATGATTACATTAGTGATTTATGTTCAAAAATTTGCATGAACATTCATGAATATAAAAGCATATATAAGATGTAATAGATAAAAATATGTCACTAAAATTAGTTCAGTTAATTCCATACCTGATTGCAAATCTAAAATATAAATTTTAAGGCATGTAAGACAACTAAATGAATTATTCCCCATAAAAATATTTTTACATAAATTCTATTCTCAAAATCCAATCAATTTGCCAGTCTGTTGTGACTAAAATTCTACTTTACATTTTTTAATTCTTGCTTATAAACAAAATAAAAAAATTATTTTAAAGTTTTCATTCTTAGATATTTAATTCATTTTTATTTTACAAAAATTAGAAATTGTGCTTTTAGTTCTAAAAGTTTGAGAGCAATTTCCAAAATACATTTTTCAAATTGACAAATCCTAAGTAATAAAGATAAAAATGTTCTTATTCTTTTGTATTTAAATTTTTTTCCATAAGCTGGACTATAAAATATAAAGACTATTGTGAGATAGCAGAAATTCCTATATTAGAACTAGTCTTTAATAGTAACATTGTGCGAGTTATGCAACGATTGTTGTTCGTAGCTACCTGAGAAAGTCTCCCGTTACATTTTCTCGAAGGCAACATGACACTTTCTCGTGAACTATTAACCTTTGCACAGCCGAAATCGTCGGTGGATATCACCAGAGACAGCCGAAAAGAGTTAGTCACCGTTTTAGTCCTCAGAGAGGAAAGAAGTCGTCGCCCATTTGATCGTAGTCCATAGGATCGTCACCCATTTAATAATCGCCCATAGGATATCCTTTTTTGTGTGTGGGTTAGTGCATGATCGAGTCTGGATAAATCAAAAGGGACATTTTGACTGGATATTTCACCCCGGGATATATACTGAAAAAGCCCATAAGACGAAATATTACCTTGTTCTCTTATTCAACACGACCCGACCGGGATATCTATTACCAAAGGTATTTATCACCACGCAAACATATGTGAATTCTCTCTCTTTGCGACAATACTTTATCCAATTTATTTTAAAATAAACCCTTGTTAATTGTTAAGTGTATCTCAGTCACTTCCACATGTTGTCTCTCCATCGGTTAACCTTACAAATCCGTCTGACCACGTATGGGACCACTCACGCGATGGTGTGATGTAATCGCCATCTCAGCTTCCGTGTTCCGTTAAACACGGTGGTGTCAATCCTGACAAGGCACTACGGAAGTGCCGACCAGAAAGGTCACACTATAAATTGGGCATTATCTTTTTAAATGTATGATAATCAGATTTTAACTTTTATTATTCATATATGTTACTTTAAACAAGAAAAAATATAACAAAAAACCTTTGGATGTTCTTCTGAGAGCACAACTTGGCCAGATACATTTTTCAATTTTTCATCTGGGACTGAAGCTCGATCGACAATATGTTCATCTACATGATTAGTCCTAAAAAATAACAAAATTGTTTTCACCATAATATAAAACGTTTTAGAACATTAAAATATATTGTATTTATTACAATTCATGTTTAAAATAATTTAAATTTTAATGTTCTTTAACTGAAGAAATAGCAAAATCTGTTTTAATATAAGAATCTTATTTAAACAGAATATAAAATCCAGAAGACAAATATTTGAATAATTATAGGAATTTCTTGACTCTTATAATTGTTTGAGGTTTTATCTTTTGAAGAAATAGTGAAATGCAATATAAAAGTATCACATTAAAAAAACTATAAGCATATCTGACTAAAAATAATGAATGAAAATCTATAATTTATGAAACAATAACTATGAAAGAGATTATACAGTTACTATTAAATACATAGGAAGAACAAAGAGAAATCTAAAGAAAAGGACTGATGAGAACTAAATAAGATATTTTAAAAACGGCCAAAACATTAGCTAAATAGGCTTTAACAAAAATGTGGTATTAAATAGAGCAAAGCTAAAATTATATGAATAGAAAAACTGTATCCTATAGGAACTGCTGAAAAACTTAGAACAAAAAACTAAGAAATGTTAAATTGTAGTTAATAAAAATTATAGTCAAGAAAGAAATTATAGATTTAGATCTGTGGATATAAAAACTTTAACTTACAATGATACAAAAATAAACAAAATAATTTAATTTCATATATTCAATATTATAGATTTATATATAATCCAAACTTGATATATGCTGATACAGCCTGATAAGAACTGTTTAATTACTATGGATTTAGCTAATCTTACAATTTAAGACAGAATGCAAATAAATATACTACCACAACTTTGTGAGGAAAACTTGGTGGTATACCTAAAATTGAAAAAATTGCTAGAATAGAAATAATACTTTTTCATAAGCAGCACTACCATAAACACTATGATACTGGTATGCAATTTAGAGATTATTATCTCAAATATTCTGTTTTTCCTTGTTTTTTTTTTATTTTATTTCCATTAATAGTTGTTTCTAGCTGTAATTATAAATAAACAAAATAGAAAAAAAAATATTTCGTCACAGAACTGTCACAAATATTTCTTTTTCTATTTTGCTTATTTGTAAATAGTGTGTGTCAAAAAATCCAAAACAGCAGCTAAACAAAAAAATATTTATATTGCTTCATTTTATTTCTGTTTTATTTATCACTAGCTAACCCAGTGCTTCGCCCGCACAGATTTTGCAATTTGATAGAAATAACCCTCTCTTGAAAAATCATCCCAGTGATTCATCACATAAGCCACTATTTCTGTGCATACTTCTTTGGCCATCACTTGAATGTNTAATTTGAACAGAGACAGGCAATAAAAAATATAAAATGTCCTAAGTAGTAGACAAGTGCTATTAATATCTGGCTCTGTAACAAAATCATAGAAAAAAAATACACTCACTGATATAAAAAGTTACACATCAAGAAGGAAGCATTGGAATTGAATAAAACTTTAGTGTAAATGTAATGATGACAGTATATCATAGTAAAGTGACAGTTTCCAATGAAACAGTAGTGTAATTTATAAAGAAAACCTTTAAAACTAAATCCAAGATAAAAAGTTATCGCAGAAAATAATCATTATATCTAGTTTTCATTGTTGTTTTTAAGAAAAATATCACATTCATTAAATAAATATAATTTTAAATAAACCTAAAAAAGATATAAAATCGTTCATATAAAAATGTATGTGATTTGAATTTATTATGCTTTTTATGTTTAAATTAAAATAATAAATATTAAGATAGATGTAACATCTTTTAAGAAATTATTTCAAATTCTAAATATCAAACGAGCAATTATTTATTGTGACATCATCAAAATGCTGGGCTGCAATTTTTAATTTATTTAATTTAAGATATATGTTCTCCACCTCAAATTAGTACTGTAGTGTGTTGCCACTGTATGTCATACTTTTCCATTAGCAATGGAGTTGTGCTAGTCATCTATCTAACTTCTTTCAAGGTAAAAGTTTTGAATTGAAATAACTTGACTTCTGGTTTGCATCAAAATCATATATAGTTAATCAGGGTCTCCTCCTCTACGCTTTCGATATCTAGTCTTGACTTTCTTGTATCTAACTCCATTCTTGAGATTAAGAAAAAACAGATGGACAGACGGATGATAGCGTGAATTTATAGGTCTACAATTTTTTCAATTGCAGCCCAATGACTGAAACTGTTGTTTCATCATTAATGAAGAGACCAACTGTGAAGTCTGAATATGATGAAAAGTAAATTTTTGATTATGTAGAATTTAGATATTTGTTTTTCTTCTTAAAATAAATGAAATTGTTGAAAATTTAAATATAAAACTCAGATTATAAATGTTATATATTTGTGACATTGATTAATGACTGAAATTTCTTTTCAATGAACAGATTACACTATTTCAAGATGCAACCTTAAAAAGTCTTTAAATAGCTAGTATTGTAGATCCAAAACAGAAGTATACAATACTAAAACAAAAGTTCTAAGTATCATTTATTAACATATTTGCAATTATGAATGCATTTTGTGGCTAAATCATTGGTATGAAATTATTTATAGTTAAAAGTATGTTTGTAAATGGTGTGTACCAATAAAGAGTAAATTATGTTAAAATTTTACCAATTTATATGAAGTTGTATAAAGCATTTTATCTGTCCAGTTCCAGTGCAGCATTTACATGCTGACATTCCATCCCCATTACATTTCCAACATCTGAAAAGTTAATGAGAGATTATTAAATCAATTTCAATTTTGTGGATTTTGAAAAGTTATAAATTCTAATTATTGAATTTTTTATAAAAAACAAAGCTTTATAATTATGACTTAAAACTTACCTCTGACGACCAGTTCCATGACATTGGAAGCATCTCTCACTCTCACCTTGAAATGAACTTCTACGTCCATCTCCATGACATGAATAGCAGTATTCCTAACAAGAAACCTAGTTTATTATTATTTTTAATGACATTATAAACTAAAGCATTTAATTTAAACTTTAAATCATAAAAGTATTATTCAAAAGTCTTATTTTCTTAATTTTAATTAGATTATAACTGGTTCTAAAGTGTAACCACACTAGCCAAATATGGTTACTTAAACAATTATGTATAGCTACCAGACATAAATATCAAAAACTTTTATAAAAGTTCTAAAAACTTTTATAAAAGTTTTTGATATTTATGTCTTTTGATATTTAGTTTTTATAAAAGTGATTAAACAGTACTAGATACAAGTGTCTGGTGTATTTATAAATATGGTTTCTAAATATAAAATTAAATTCAAGAAAAATTGCAGCAAGATCTAGGCTTTATTTATGACCAAGCAATATTTTGTATTTTTCCTTACAGAATGATGTAAGTATAACTCAGATCATATTATAATCAACTTAACATACTAGAATAACCTACCCAACCATTTCCCGAACAAGTGAAACATCGTTTCCGCCCTACTCCGCCACAAGTATGGCATGTTTTAACGACTGCGGTATGAGGCACTTCAATTTGGGTACTACTGTTTTGAAACAATGCAGGAGGTGAAGCTGGAAGATTCCAAGGTAGAGTAGGTGTACCACTAGAAATGCTGCTAATGGGATCACCTATATTAAAACAAAATTCTGATTAAAATATATACTTATTTTTGTAGATTTTTAATGAAATTTAGATTATAATTAAAGCACCATAATAAATAGTTTATTAATTACATAATTCACCTGTATATGGTTCAAAGGTCCACGAAGTTTGTCTCTTTTCTGTGAAACTTTCAAGGGTATACTAAAAATAATGTAATAATTTTAAATCATATGGTATTTTTAGATTTTAAAGTAAAAATAAAAATATGTTACAATACATGAAAGGCACAAGAATGATTGATTTTAGTAATGGACATATCCCGTGCCACAGATTTTCCATAGCAACAATGTCTCGATACATATTTATTCAAAGCTTGCCGAGCTTCTTTCTCTGTTAGTTTTGGCTCACTAGAAAAATCATTATGTAAGGAAACCATATCTAAATTATTTATTTAAAAAAATAAAGTTTACCATGTCAAAGGTAATCTATTTAAATTTTCTTCATCTTCTGGCATAACATGTGCAACTGGTGGTGGTACATCAACTGTAAAATTAAAGTATTTACAAAAAATTAACTTTCTAAAATTATTATATACTGCATGTGTTTATTAATATTTACAAAAGTATAAAATAAATATGTATGATCTGAGTAGAAATGCATATATTATAAAAAAAATGCACTGTACAATAAAGAGTACCATTTTATTATTTGGCTACCTATGGTTAAATTGTTAAAATAAAGAATTTAAAAGGAAGAAAAGGTATTTTTGAATGGTTTCCATATAACTTTGTTGCAATGCTATTATTTCAACATTAATACTTTATTAAAAAGCACCCTCTAATAATAAAAAAGCAATATATTTTATATAATAAATAAGTACACAGTAAATTTACATCTGTAAATATTCTCCTGATTCAAATACATGCATCATATGCAACTAATTTTTTAGAAAAATATTGTTTTTCGAATGACTTAGAGAATATATCTTTTAAATATTAATGAAAACTACTTACTACTTACTGCTCTACGCATTATCAATATAGACAAGCAATTATTTATTGTGACGTCCTAACGTGGGATGAAATTTTTTCATCACAATGCTCTCAATTTTAGTAGTGGCTTGCCCCTGTACATCATACTTTTCCTGTTAACAATAGAGTCATGCCTGTCATCTATCTAACTCCATTCAAGAGAAATTTTTTGAATTGAAATAACATGACTTTCAGCTTGCATGGAAAGATTGTATACAGTTAATTGGGGCCTTCTGCCCCTAAGCTTTCTATATCTGGTTTTGACTTTCATCTACGTAACTCCGTCCTCAAGATTACGGAAGGACAGACAGATATATAAATGGATACTAGTGGAAATTTATAGGTCTGCAACTTTTAAAAATTGCAGCCCAAAAATTTAATTACAACCATCTTGTATATTTAATATTCAGTCTTGTGTTAATTTATAAAACTATATTTACTTATTTCCTAATTTTTACACAAATAAATGCAATGATTATTATGCACCATTAACATAAAGCAAAGTTATAATCTTAATTCTTTCAATAAAAACGGATTGAAATATTTTAGAATATTTTCTATTAGAAATGCTAAAATGAGTACTAAAATAATTAGGATGTTGTCGTCTTCCAATAATTTTCAAAATCAAGATTAAAAGTCAAAATAATGCACCAATTTCGGGTTAATTTGACTTATGGGAAATAACCACCTTTTCAATGCCAAGCAAATTCAACAAACAATTGATTATTTGTCTTTTTTCTGTTAGCATTTGTAAAAAGTAATCACCATTTAAATGAAAATGGCAATTTAGGGAGAAATGATCAAGTTGAATTTAGAATTTACATTTCATTCTTAATTTACAAGAGATCAATCCCCTTCAAATCAAAAGTAAAAAAATATCACATTTACGTTCATAAAATAATAAATGTTATGTTAAAAATGTATATTTTTAAATCAAACATTTTCAAGAAATAACTGAAAGATTAAAAAACTTTAATACTAAGATTTATGAATTTCAAGCTTGATGAATCTCTACATTAAAACTCAATTACCTATTTAAAGTATCAGTCTGTTGATAAGAGACTGGAAGTGATATAGTTATAACTTAATGCAAATCTCAATTTAAATCCAAATATAAATTCTGGGTCTTGTGAAGACTGATTAGAAATCTCAACTGTCTCAGAGTATTGAGTTAGTCGTATTGTGTATAATAATAAAGCAAACGCATACAAAAATATCGTTAAATGTTAAAAACCAATGTAAGTTGGCCAATATGACTAAAAAGTACATTAGTACAATTACAACAAATTAATTAGTTGAAATAGATCTTTTAAATATATGTGCACTTAATAATTTAATAAACAGACTAATTAATTAAGTAAATAAGTAATGAAATAATAATAAATGTATAATAATCAGGGATTCATAGTCTGAGTATAAGTCACTCTGACTTGTGAAAGTATAGGTAGACAGCCTACTGTAATAATGCAATAGTTCAATGTTACTAGCAACTTATTATTGTGTAAGAAGCTGCCATATTGATAAGACAGCTCCTTGCATGTAGTATGCAAACCAGTCATATACACTTCAATACTCAATAAATAAAAAAGAAAAAGCCGAGAAGAACAAGTATTAAATTCGATTCCTTTTTACCCCATGGTTGTTCATATTTGAGTCTGATGTGCCTGTTTCTATTTCATCCAGTGGTCAACTGCTTGTGACTTTTTACACTTTACTTTTTTTTACAACATGTGGGCTGGCAGAAAGTGAGCAGCAGAAGGGTATTATTATTAAGTTGTAAATTATTTAATTGTAAGTTGATGTCTATTAAGGGCAATTGCTATCAGAAACAGGCATTATTTCAAATTATTGAAAGTGTTTGTAATTCTGTTTTTAAAACGAAAAATTTGTCTTATTAGTACTTTAAACTTGCAAGAATTTGCTGTTTCTTCAATTTTTTAAAATCCAAAATATAATAACCCCAAAGAAAATACCAGTAAATGTGATATTGACAGTAAACATCTCTTGTAAAATACAATTGGAAATATGCCATATCCTGTTTATTGTATCCTGTATCCTGAAAATAATTAAAAACAATTATATATTTATTTAGTACTAATTACAGTAAAACCTGCATAAACCGGAATCACACTGTACCAAATATGTTTTTCCAGTTTGGCAGGTTTTCGTTTTAAACAGATTATTTTTTTAAAACAAAAAATCGTTCCATTCCGAAGAATATTCCCCGTTTAAGAAGGTTTCCGTTTCGGACAGGTATTACTGTATATAATTCCAGTTATTATCTCATTGGTAAAAAATAATTACATCGGAAGATAAAAATCTCATAAAATAATAGAAAAAAAAATTGCAGAATCTTTCCTTATTGTAATTCATTCCTTCACAAATGACCTGCAATCCACTTTTCACTTTATTTATATATTCGAATCTGATGAAAAAATTGTCAACATCGTATAATACGAAGCGTTAACTGGCAAAAGAAAGTAATAAATCTGTCAACGACGGGAAGAAAAATAACTTTATTTTAATGTTATTTATTCGATATTTTTTTTATCATTTAACTGCAGTAGGAACCAGTTAAAATACGTTTCAGCCAGATTATAATAAATTGTTCGGTTTACTTTCACTTCCAACAAAAATTGATCACTGACCTAAAAATAGAATTGTACCAGAAGTTTATAAAAACAAAGTTTATTTTTATTTTTTTCTTTTACCAAACAAAATTTAAATAATTTTTTGCTTTGAAGTAAAACATAAAATTACAAATTGTATATAAACAGGTATATAAAAACATAAATAAATATAGATAAAACTTTAAAATCATCATAAACCAATGCCAATACAATAAAACCTGCCAAAAACAGAACCCGAATAAAATGAAAACCTGCCTAAAACGGGAAAAAATTCTTCGGAACGGAACGAATTTTCTTACGTTAAAAAACCTGTTCAAAACGAAAACTTTCCAAACCGGAATATTTCGGTTTACACAGGTTTCACTGTATTCGAAAACTCCTCGATTATTTGGAATAATCTAAACAAACATCTGTTCAATGTTATATTTATGCCATTAATAAATAAATCTAAATTTTAATTTAACCATTTTAAATCCTATTACGGTATTGTACTATACAGTACGTGTGTATATTTATAACATAATAGCAAGCGAAGAATATTAAAAATAGCCGAAACAGAAACGAAAAATCGTGAATACTTTTAAAGATATCAGAAAACAAGTCATTTCTAGTTAATATATCTAAAGATTTTAACATATTTATTGATATGAAATATAAAGTGAGTGTACGGTCAATACTTTTTTAGACTGAACTGATGGAATAAAGCTATGCAACACTTGGGCAATCTGCCAAGTGGAGTGCGCCTATCAAGAAGATTTTCTATGAAAAACTGGAGTTACACACGTGAAAACCCACAAAAATCCACGTGACCGGTCCGTTAGTCACGCGCTAACCTGCGATTAACTACCACTGTTCAGTGTCACTTCGCCCACTGGCAGGAACGTCTGTATATTTTTGAGTTTATTAATAATAATAGTCTGTTAATTATATAGAGAAAAATTCGATTCTATGGATAAACCCCTCTAGGGATCGCGTTAAAAATTAAACGAGGAAACTGGGGATGCCCCAAAAGTTCCCCCCCAAAGAAAAATGTCTGTACAGTACGTGGAGACCTCTAATTTAAATTTTCCCGGGTCCCAAAAAGCTAAAATGCGCCACAGGATCCCGAGCGAGTGGGGTGAAGTTATGCACGTTACTACATATCGGGATATGGATCTGCGATTGAGAGCGATGTGATCGAGAAAAATGACTCATTTTGTTACAGTACTTTGTTTGTGTCCGGTCGGACGTTTCTACTGCTGCTTTCCTGTGTTTGATATGTGTTTAAGCCGCAGTCACCTAACAAGTCCATGCAACAGGCCCATAGACTAATGGAGACACAGCGCATTTAACAAATTTCTCATACACGTAGCATGCGTAGCCTTTGAAGGTCGTATATACATATACTGCATGTCTGGAAAGTACATTATTATAAGCACATAAATCATCGTGAATGTTGATTTTGTTCATTAACGTTTTTGCAAGTTTTTTTTTTTCAATCAATCTTAACGCAGTTTAGTCATGCACTGTATCATTTTCCGACTGGTTAAAGAGCGTGCATAAACAAATCAGAAGCATAGAGCAACAAGTTCTGGTACAAAATGTTCAGAAATGTCTGCACCCGCATATAATTTAACGAATTTTAGAAAAATACAAAAAACGTCCGGTAATCCGGCATCACTCTGGCCCCGTAAATGCCAGATTAACGAACTTCTGCTGGGATAATAATTGTACCGATATCAATTTAATAAAATTTTAAGTTTCGAAAATTTCTAAAAAAACTACTCATTATGAGTTAAATATTTCACTATATTTTCTACATCCAATGCCATAATTTCTTTTAAATCACAGTAAAATCCTTGTAAACCTCAATCGCGCGGTGCCAAATATTCTTCTCCGGTTTGGCAAGTCTCCGTTATGAACAGGCTTTTTTTTTTTTTAAACATAGAAAATCGCTTCGTTTAAAAGAATATTTTCCGTTTAGGCAGATTTCCGCATTCTTCGGTTCAATTTTGAACAGGGTTTACTGTAATTTAAGTATTCAAACGTAACCGTATTTTATTGAAGATAAATACTTTTTGCATTACTATTTTTAAAACTTTTAATATTACAAATTTTACTAATAACCTAATATCTTATTTTATTTAAATTAAATGTTTACAAAAATGTCTATTTTGGTTCATAATTGATTAACTAAAATACGAAATAATAAACAAACATTACTACTTTCCCGGTTCTGTTATACATAACGGAGGGAAAGTATGGCGACCGGTCAAAAAAAATTGACCCCCAAAATTTTTACATTTTTGGACTCGGGAGACCTTGAAACGTCGAGAAATGAAAAAAAAAAATCTGGCTTTTTCCCCGTATGTAGTATGTGTAGTATTTTAGTATGTGTTGGAAGGGGGACGATTTTGTTTACCCTCTTTGAAGCTTAATAACTCCTGTGATTTTTGTCGAAAATTTCTGAAATTTTGCAGGAAAGTTTGAATATTATGGGCATCGATGCTATTAAATTTTGGTGGTTAAAGGTTGAGGGGATGGAAAGATATAGGAAGGTCGTGTGTCACATCTCGAGTAGGGTGAAACTTAATAATGATTTTACTCGTTATTAGCATTTACAACTTTTTTTATCTTATTAAAACTCATCGCTACAATCAAAATTAAGCTTTTGCCATATTATAATAATTAAAAATATAAAAAGTTTTTTTAAAAAAAATGAAATATCATAACGGATGGTGCCGCACGCAGTTTTAAATGTTGCCGGGAAAGTTACGCAACTCATTACTAGATATTTTTTCCTTTGTTGTAGTACAGTATTGATAAGAAAAATAAACTATTTAGATTTACCTTAATGAAACTGTTTCAACAGAAATCGGTATAAAAACAGTAACGAATGCAAAAAAAAAAAAATGTTTATAAATATACTCACGTACTTTACATAGTTACACAAAATTAATTCAATAAAGATATCGGAATTAATGTTTAAAAAATATATATATCAGTTAAAGTTACTTTTAATTATTTTTAATTCATTACTTAAAAGGAATTTCAAACTTAAATGGGGTGGTTTTGAAACAGAGTCAAAATAAGTTTAAAGTTCCACACAGAATATAAAAATAGAAAGTGATGATATTTTTGCTTTGTAATAGAATGCAAGCGATACAAAATTTAGATATATTTTCATTTCCTTTTTATTTTTTAATATATCCGATTCTATTTCAAATGTTTACCTAAATTGAAACAGCCATGCAGAATTTCTGAATTTAGAAACGTTCAAAGTTATTGTTAGGTAAATAAACAATGAAAGAATTATCGGATTATATATTCAATAGACATAAAATTCAAACAAAATTTGTTGTTATATATATATTTTTCCCGTCGATTTTCTACTTTATTTTCTTTTCTGGTCTTAAAATATTAAGACTTAAGAATAAATTTTTTGCGTAAAATTCGGCTTTTAAATTTACATAAAATTCAATTTTTAAAGGAGAAAATTAAGAAAATTAAAATATAATTTCAATTAATCGAAATGTTTCATGTGTTTACAATTTTATATTCTTATTAAATACAGAGAAAATAATAGTAATAAAACAATATTAACACAATTGCAACGCGAAATTTCGCCGTTTCGTGTTACAAGATAATCCAGAGAAGTTTCCAGATGATCGATATTTTTTACTTTTTGAGTTATTTTACCTTAAAATAACTTACATTATATGGAATTATTTTTACGAGAATATCGAATATTCGTCACAAGTTCCAATACATTATACATAACATATACAGTATCTTGGAAAGTTCAATAATTTCTAGAAAAGTAAAAGATATTTATGGTAATTATCATATTATAACCGAATTCTAGTTAGATACTTTATTATATTCTAATTTATAAGAATATCTTAAGATTCATATTTATAGTACAAGGATGGAAATAAAGCATACAGTCACAGGTTTAAAAAAAAAAAAAGGTTATATTTATCAAATTATAATTCTAATAAACTAAAAGAAAATAACACGTTTTACAAAACATCATTCTTAATCTGTTAAGAAAAGAGAAGAGGAGGGAAAAGAATATAAATATGTACTTCAATTTACATACATTTCAAAATTCATTTTAAAATGCTAATTTTAAAATCAACTCGGCTAAATTACGATAATTATTTGTTAATTATCAATATGTTAATTAGCAACAAAAGCATTTCAACAATAGAACTAACTAAATATATTAATCGCTACAAAAGCGAGTTACGTGTAATAATCTCATATTGATTACAAGAGGTTGTAGACCTTTAATGTAGAGTTTATCTTCTACAAGAAACTGTAGATATCGATTTTTACTTACCTATATCAAAAGAGGCATATTCATAACCTGTAACTTTATCCAAAAGCTCCAGTGGTGGGGCAGAGGGTTCTGGTTCATCATCCACAGCATTTGGAGGTGGAGTGACTGATTAAAAATTGATTAAATAAGTTAACTTTTTTTAAAACATAAAAAAAAATCTTCTTCAAATATTAATCGATTTGATTTTATTACTATTATTCCTTTCGACAAACTGTCAAAAAGCAAGAAGAAAAAAAAAATAATGGAAATATTTAAAAATTGTGCAGTACACTTATTATAATTTTATATCTTTCTCGGTGAAGTTATGAAAAATTCAGGAGGCAGATGTTTATACTCTTTTCTTTATTCATACACATCGCTGTTAAATATGGCACCTTTCATATAAACACATCTGCTCTCTAACCATTTAAAATTGACGAATGTCCAATTTTTATAATATAATAGATTTTTTTCTCTTGATTATTTAATATAATGTAGACTAAATTATATAGAAAAAATATACACAAATATAAAATTTGAATTCATTATAAATTATTTAGATCTTGGTATTTAATTTGAAGTATTGATTTTTTTTTCCTTTAAAAAAAATCCAATATTGATTCACTTGTTAAGAAAATGTTAATATAAGAATATATCTAGTTCATTTAATTTTATATTTAATAATTTTATTATTTTTCAAATAATTATTCATTAAAATTTAAAAATCATACACAGTATAATTAAGTGTTTTATATTTTAAAAAATTTTAAACTTATTATATACAGGCTTAATTTATAGATTTATAAAAGCTTCATAATATTAGTATAAAAAATAATTAATTATTTAAAATTTAATTTTAAAAAAAACAAGCGATAAAACTCTTATTTGGCTCCTTTACTTCCTGCTTCACAGCACGACACTCCTCTCTCTTTTCTACACTTGTACAGTACTTGTACGTATGATGAGTAGAATATTTAATAAAGTAAAGGAGAAAAATAAAATATTTTATAACGAAACTACGATAAAAACTTTACAAAAACGTGTATAAAAAATTTAATTTTTCTAACGTAAAAAAAAAACAAATTGATTTAAAATATTTCTACTTGGTACGTTTATTTATTTAATTTCTTTTTTACGTAATATAAATCTCAATTTCTAACGAGAAATCGTTTAAAATAAAAAAGAATTTTACAGGATGAGTAAAATCTTCTTCCTTTGCCGCAAACGCTGTATACAAATATTTACAGTACAGTTTGACCCGTTTCTAAACTGCTATTTAGTAGAATCAAATAGAATGTGGAAAAAATCTAAAATTATTCATCTAATTCGGTCAATGATGCCGGTACAACGACTCGACAAAAAAGCATTTTAAAAACTTTATCCTCGCAGATCATTTTTGGCAACGACGCTTTAATAAGCTGCCAAGATTTTTAGGTGAATCCAAGAAGAAGAAAAATTTTTTTTTAATCTAATTTTAAGATTACATTTATCGTAGGAAATTACATTAATTTTAGCAGGAATTAGAGTGAAGAAACAACTTATTTTTCGCTGTCAAATGAGTAATTAGTCGCGGGTTTCTTTTCCCTTTTCTTTCGGGAAAGAGTAAAAAATGAATAAAAATAGGTTACTTACTCCTTGTACTGAGCCTTCTTTTATAAGAATTAGGAAGGGGTTCTCGACTAGTTTGCCTTTTATAAACAGATCTATCGCGACTACTTTGTCTCCTGTAACTGGTGCTTGCCATCTCTAGCCCTTAGTGTCCGTAGAGTCCCGTGACATATGCAGTTGCGGCTATTTTTACCTTACTGTTCCAATGGCGGGGGTGAAGTAGAACATGCAGGTGGTACGTTACACTTTCTCAATAACGCAATTGTACTACGAATAAAGCACTGCGTGTATTATAATATAACGTGTGCGATATTACGAATTTTGCCAAAGATTTTTCTGCATCTTACTGCATTGACTTACAACATGCTCTGAATATCATTTACATTTTTGTATAAACAGATACCCGTTATATATAAACTGTATAAAAACTTTGGGTTAAAAGTAATCATTTATTTAAAATTTTATTAATTTATAACTGTGTAAATATTTTGAAATTTTTAAAAAAATATATTTAGAAATTTTGTAAATCTATAAACTATAAGGCAACTTGTAGTTATGCAACCGAAAATGCTTAAAATATCGTATAACAATTACAAAGATATATAAATATTTTCACTTAACAGTTGAAAACATTTACGATTATAATATATATTTATATCTTTAAGTTTTCACTGCTTAAATTGCACAACTTAAAATATAAAAAATTATCGTCGCGTTATCGATTTAAGTATCTCTTCAGCTGTCAACTCGACTTTGAGTATATACAGCGCTATACGAAATCGACGTTTATAAAAATTTTAGGTATTATTCAGTCAAAGGCTACTATAATTTAATTCATACTTTTATTTGCGAGCAATTTGACGTTTTGTACAATTTATATACAAGTTAGAATGAACATCTATCCCTCCAGAACTAAGAAATTGTAATTACTGAGGAAAGGAAGGTGGAAGCCCTGAAAGAGAATTGACTCTAATGGATATTAATTTTTATAAATTTAATTATATTTAAATGCAGAAATGTATAAATTAATTTATATAATAAAATATGTTTTATGTCTACCTTTAATTTATTTGTATTCACAGGATAATTTCCATAATTGTATTATAATCTATTCCTGAGGGAACTACACACCAGATATAATAAATGCAATCTATGAGATAACGATGAAGTCAAGGAAAAAGTAAATACTATTTTTGAACAGTTGTCATAATTAAAGAGAATTAAAATTAAACTCTAATTAATAAATGATAAAAAATAATCTGTATTGAAATTCCTTTAGTTTTTTTACATTTTATTAATTAATACAGTAAATATAATAGAATGGAACACAAAGATATAAAAGAAATTAGTCGTCTTTCAAAGTACAATAATTATCAAGTATCAAGTACAATAATTAAAATTATACATTTTTTCAGTATTAAGGTATTTTATATATTATCAATACTAAGTACCAAATACTTAGTACTAAGTACTTAGATTATTGTAGATTATCAGAATCTCATATTTCAATTTTCATTTATTTAGAACGTGTTCTCAGTAAAGGAGCAACAAAAAAAAAATCAATGTTCATCAATAAAATTGCAATCTTACACTATACTAGCGATGACTACACATCAATAACCGTTGTAACTTAATGAGGCCTAGGCAAATTTGAATTAAGGGCCACATGTACAGTGTTTACTTCAGACATGTTTCTTCGAGGAAATTTTTTTTGGGAAAATATTTTCTTATAAAAGTTTTTCATTTGGAGCTCCCTATTAGTGAGGCTCCAGGCAATTGCTCCTTTGTCCGTAGAATAAAGAATCACCTGTGAACACTAAATATATTATTGGAATTGAAACCATTATACGATCCTATAGTGGTTACCAAGTTTTATTATAATTTAATATCACTTTTATTAATTCGTGAAACACAATATTTGAATTTAATAAACAAAATCAATTGTCTTATTCTGAATGTTATGATAATAAGCTGTAGTCTAATTTTCTAATAAAATTTTCATTATTTTTTTTTTCCTAAAACATTTTTAGTATGATTACGTAAAATAAGTGAAAGAAGTTTCGAAAGTACAGTATATATATTATATATGTATATATTATTTTAAATGGTATGGTTTGATAGTTTTACTAAGAATTTGATGATTCATGAACGATTTCACTGAATAATTTAAGTGTAACACCTCTTCTGCTTATTATCAGATAAAAATTTATCGATAGCAAGAAAAAATGTTTCATTTTAAAAAAATTTTACTTCAAGACATATATAATTATATAAACTATTATTGTTTATTATATAGCAAATATTCGAATATTGTATACAAACATTTACACACGCAAATATTTCACAAAATTAAACACTACAGTATAGTATTTCTATAACATAATAACGGTTTCATGCATGTACATGATTAGTTTTGATGTATTATTTTTCTGCTCGTGTATGTTAAGTCAACCAGACGGATGTAAAACTTTAGAAAATCGATGCTTACTATCAATAATTGACACAACGGATAAACACACCCGAAAAGTCTGACTCACAAAATCGTCTCGACGTAACAGTTACAAACTGGGAAATTAAGAATATTTTCAAAAAACTTTTTCACAGTTTCTTAATTTCCGGAACTTTTCAGGGGGGGAACCATACAGACAGGACAGAGATTAATGGTAAAGTACTAAAGACATGAAAAAATATAATAAATTAACTTTGAAGTGTAATATATTGTAACTGAAATATGATAAAATATACTTTTATAAGAAAAACACGAGTTATAATTTATAATGTTAAATACTCTCAAACGAAGGATAAAATTAACATTAATATCCTTAGATTCATTCCTTAATAAACTTTAATAAATTAATGTTTGATTGGTTTTGGTTAACTAAAATATTTTTATGAAAAAATAAATACATTTTAAAATTTTAATAGACTACAGTAAAAAATAATCTATTTATTTTACTTTTTTAAAGTGGGGAGTCGGCAGAAAAATACTGTACACGACTCCCGACTCAGCATCCCTGTTAATCCTCCAAGTAACACGCCAGTAATTGATTCTGCCCAATATATTATACCAGGATATGGTATACAGCTGGTATAATATAGTATGCGTGATGATTCATGGTTCGCGGGATATGTTATCTTGGTAAAATTATAGTAAAATTCCTCTCTTTTATCCTTTACAATATTTTTATCCTTTCCTCTCTATTGAGAACTTTTGGTGCGTATTTTCTACCCATTTCCCCTTTCGACAGGCACGTAATGGGAATGACCTGGCCAATCTAGTAAAGATTGGAATGGTGAAGAACGACATACATATATAAAAAAATCTGAAGATATATCTGGATCGAACCAGTCCTCCAGGTCACAGATCTACGCTTTCGATTAGTCGGTTATCCATTTTGGTTTGGTTTATTTGTTTACGCGATACGTGGGCGATCTTCCGGGAGGACTTTCTACAGGAAACTGTCCCCTATTTAAGTGATACTAACGTGGAGAAATCCAGAAAACTCCACGACCAATTGCATGGCCGAGTGGTTTTATCCATTCGGCCATTCGCTGATGTGACATCGTATCAGAACAGACGAATGACTGAATTGACTCTGCTCTTTCTCAATACAGTTAAGATGGCAGATTATTATATGCACATAATAAAAATACCTTCATGACGTTTCTGTGACGACGCGTTGTGGTACGTTAATACTGAAACTTGTGGTCGTCATATTTTTAACTGTCACGACACGAATTTCAAATTTGCCAGAACGCGTTGTAGCTCTTTATAAGCGGCTAGGGCGCAAAATTTCTTATGTGACTGTGTTTGTAAAGATATAACGTCTTTTTAATGGTATTTCCCCCTTCATTTATTTATAAGCTTAACATTTATAAGAGATTCGCATGAATCAAGTGAAATTTCTTCGTGTATTTCGAAGTTTGATAGATTCTTAGAGATTTTTACATTCGTTAATTATTATTTTTATGGTTGTGGTATAAATGTGATACTTAATTAATAGTGATGCCAAGTATTGTGTTGAACCGATGTCAAAACTTAGCTGATAAAAACAACAGATATATCAAGTTTTTTACATTGTTACTGTATCTGCATTTTAAAAACTTATTTAAGTATTATAAGAGCCAAACTGAAGTTACAGTATAAAAAGAAGTAAAAAATGTTCGAAAAGAAATAAAAAATTAAGCAGCAGTAAATAAACACAGTATATATTTGTATGAGTTAGATCTTTTCTACAAGAATTTTATATCTTATGCATCATAATACTTCAGTGAAATTTTATTTATCGACATAAACCACTTGTACTTTCAGGCACTTGTCTCATTGTTTCACAAGTTCTCAAAAGCCTGCATCAAAGGATTTTGGCTGCATCCGTCAAACCTGCAACGTCTTCGTTATCTTCAAAATGGTGACCACCCAGACGACTTTTCGGGAACCCAAAAAGATGGAAATCAGTGGGAATGAAGAAGGGGTAAAGGTTGGATGTTCCAAGCATTCCCAACTAAAGATTTTAAACAGAAGCCGTTGAAAACCTTGCATTAGTCTGGTCATGTGAAGGCCCAATGTCCGCCTTCACATGGCCAGACAATTGCCATTGTCATTCAGGAGAATGACTCATTATCTATGATGCTCGTTCTCCACTTTTGAATTACTGGATACAATTATACACGGCATTTTTTGCAATAACTTACACTTTTCTCTTATAAGTGAATTGTCTGTTTTATTAATATTTCTATTACTATAAATTCTGATAATAATAATATCAAATACACATTGAATTTTATTTATTTATGACAGTTCTGAATCATCAATCAATATGTCCTTTTCATTTTATTGTACGAACAAATTATTTTTCCTTACTCTTACCTATCTTACTGGATAGAACTATCATAACAGAAGCCTTTCGTTTTAAGTAAAATGCTGAAAACAATCTTATTTAGTCATTCAGAAATAATAAATCAGATTCCTATTAGTTTTATACATTTTTCTTAAAATTTTGTAATTTTTCATAATGAATTAATTAAATTGTGTTCTATTTTATTTTTGCTTGTAGTGCTTCAACATATTTTATCATTTCTTATACAAGTATTTCATAGAGTATCAAAAATATTGTTTGAAATTCATAAATTTTTATTCAATATTCAAAGCAAAACTTTATATTCATTTATTCAATAAGATACAAAAATTTATTTCCACGAGATAATTATTCAATTAAAATATTCCTCAGAATAAGAATAGAGGGACAAGATGACAAACACATTGGGCAAGTTGACATATGATTTAAAAAATAAAGACAAATGCAAATTATTTTTACATTTGAAACAATGTTCCTAGGCATCATCCATGTTTTTA